TGCTGCTCTGGGTGGTTGCATGTGGTGGTTTGCCTGCAAGCAGGTGGGTGCAGCCAGTTCAGGACCCCTGTGACAACTGTTCCCGTTACCCACTTTGTGAGTGTTAAAAATGTCATCCTTGGCCGGGTGTGATGGCTCACGCCTGTAATCCCAACACTTTAGGAGGCCAAGACGGGCAGACTACGAGGTCAGGAGATCGAGACCATCCTGGCTAACACAGTGAAAACCCGTCTCTACTAAAAGTACAAAAAATTAGCCGGTCATGGTGGCACACACCTGTAGTCCCAGCTACTCAGGTGGCTGAGGCAGGAGAATCACTTGAACCCGGGAGGTGGAGGTCGCAGTGAGTGGAGATCGTGCCACTGCACTCCAGCCTGGGTTATAGAGCGAGACTCCCTCTCAAAAAAAAAAAAAAAAAAAAAAAAAAAAAAACACATATATACATATGTATCATCTACCTTACTCTGTAAAAGGGCCTGAAGCACAAACCTGGTGTTGTGTGGTGATGGCGGGACAGTGTGGAGAAATGTGCAAATGAATTTTAATAGATTTCACAGAATTCCGTGACTACCTCATGTTCTACTTCAAAATGGCATGAAATCAAAAGCATTCAAGAGAGAATTATATTTGTTTCATCCATTTTTAAAGACTATGTAAAGTAACTCCATGTGGTTTTTCATTTCTTGCTCGTGTAAGTGACCAGAATTTAAATATGTAAAGGTGCACTTTTTATTGCTAATGCTGCAAAGTGTTTGGAAGTTATCTGTGACCTTCCTGGTACTTACTATAGGCTCATTCAGCTCACTAATTAACTCCATCTGCCACCCTGAAAACCCTTAGTGGTTGCCGGGTACGGTGGCTAACGCCTGTAATCCCAACACTTTGGGAGACTGAAGCGGGCAGATGAGGTCAGGAGTTCAAGACCAGCCTGGCCAACATGGTGAAACCCCATCTCTACTAAAAATACAAAAATTAGCCGGGTGTGGTGGCAGGCGCCTGTAATCCCAGCTACTCGGGAGACTGAGGGAGGAGAATCGCTAGAATCCAGGAGATAGAGGTTGCAGTGAGCCGAGATTGCACCACTGCACTCTAGCCAGGGTGGCAGAGCGAGACTCTGGCTAAAAAAAAAAAAAAAAAAAAGAAAACAAAAAAACCCCAAAACAAACAAACAAACAAACAACCCCACTAATGGCTAGGAAAAACTTTATGAAAAAAACAAAATAAAAAACTTGAAAGACAATTTTAAAATGAGTAAATTGTCACCTAGGCATACTTTGTCTTGGAAAAATAGACTATGACTCTGTCTCAAAAAAAAAGAAGTAAAGGGATAGTGAATGATAATATGTACTTGTATATGTAAACTACATGAGAAGACAAGGTGAAATAGTCAGATGTTTGCATACATCAAATCATATTGAGGACACTCTGCAAACGTGGGCCATCAATACACAGCACAGTGATTCCAGTACTGTAAGCAATGTTGCCCTCCATGATGTCTTTCTGAAACAATAAAAAATTCTTGTTAAAGTTTGAAATGAAACAAAGTACAGTCCTCCTTCCATTTACACACTAGTTGCCTGCCTTCCTCCCTTCCTTCGTCTCTCCCTCCCTTCCTTCTTTCCTTCCTTTGACAGAGTCTTGCTCTGTTGCCCCGGCTGGAGTGCAGTGGCGCTATCTCGGCTCACTGCAAGCTCTGCCTCCTGGGTTCATGCCATTCTCCTGCCTCAGCCTCCTGAGTAGCTGGGAATACAGGCACCCGCCACCACAACTGGCTAATTTTTTGTATTTTTAGTAGAGACGGGGTTTCACCGTGTTACCCAGGATGGTCTCGATTTCCTGACCTCGTGATCCACCCGGCTCGGCCTCCCAAAGTGCTGGGATTACAAGTGTGAGCCACCACGCCCGGCCCACTAGTTGCATTTCTAGAACATTTGGAGTATATCAAAACCCTGCAAAATATACTTTTAAATATGAGTTAAATTCTGTTGTTAATTTTTTTTTGCCTAAATGACTTGTCAACATTTATATGAAAATACAAGACAGTTATTTGTCACTGTGACAATCAAATAGACTCCACACATTCCTAAAGACGGGCGTATGGTACTACCCTCATTGAAAATCTGTAGTGAGTCCCGGTGAAATGAAGCAACCGTGGTTCAAACATGTTCAATCAAATGTCCAATACCATCAAGCCGGGGGGACACTAGTGGAACCCTGGAAACCAAAGAGAAATGACATTCCTAGGTTTCTGGTCAATCTTGATGCTACCATAGGATGATGCTCTATGCTAAACCTCTTGCATCATTGCAAAAAGTCACCCGTTTTTTGGAGTGGACCTTCCAAAGTTAAACAAGAGTATGTCGGCCAGGCGTGGTAGCTCATGCCTGTAATCCCAGCATTTTGAGAGGTGGAGGTGGGTGGATCACCTGAAGTCAGGAGTTTGAGACCAGCCTGGCCAACATGGTGAAACACCATCTGTACTAAAAATACAAAAAAAAAAAAAAAAAAATTAGCCAGGTGTGGAGGTGCACCCCTGCAGTCGCAGCTACTCGGGAGGCTGAGGCAGGAGAATCACTTGAACCTGGGAGGCGGAGGTTGCAGTGAGCAGAGATCACGCCACTACACTCCAGCTTGGGTGACAAGAGCAAAACTCCATCTCAAAAAAAAAAAAAAAGAATATGTGTCAGTCTTATCAATAGAAGGCTTTACTCATAGTAGATGCTAAACCATAGGGTTGGTTGGTTGTTGTTCTAACTGCTAACCAAGTGCTTGAGTGACATGGTTTATAGAAGCTACAATCAAAGTCTAGAGAAACTAGGATCAAAGTCTCTAAAAGTGAAGAGTAACAATGATGGGATGGATGCAGAATACACTTACCTTGAGTTCTCTAAGCTCTGTCCCAGGCAACTGTGAACACCAGAAAGTATCCTGCTTTGGTCTGTATTTGAAAGAGTTTCAATGAATTACAATGAAGTGTTATATCCTTGGCTTTGAGAGGATCATTATATTGATCTATATATATTGATACAGAAAGTGCAGTTTTGCATCTTCTGCCAAGCCACTGTTCAGGGAGTTGATTATCTTAGTCTTTTTTTTTTTTTTTTTTTTCTTGAGATGGAGTTTCACTCTTGATGCCCAGGCTGGAGTGCAATGACGCGATCTGAGCTCACTGCAACCTCCGTCTCCCGGGTTCAAGTGATTCCTATCCCTCAGCCTCCCGAGTAGCTGGGATTACAGGTATGCCCCACCAAGCCCGGTAATTTTGTATTTTTAGTAGAGACGGTTTCACCATGTTGGTCAGCCTGGTCTCCAACTCCCGACCTCAGTTGATCTGCCCACCTCGGCCTCCCAAAGTGCTGGGATTACAGGCATGAGCCACTGTGCCTGGGATATTGTCTTAGTCGTTTGCATCTTGAGGATGTTTTTCTGTATTTCTTTCAGTGTATTAAAGCTATAGACAGCATCTTGACTTTTCATTTCGTTTTGCTTTGCCTTGGCTACCAGGAAGGTCAGAAATACATTTAAGGCTCAAGTGCTCACTGTTTTACTTCCTGTTCTTAGTAGAATTATCAGTCCTTTTTCACTTGCTGCTGCTGTCTCTCTTATTTTAGCTGTCTTCTATATGCTTTTATTGTAAGCTGCATCATATTTTTGTTAGAAGTAGAATAGGGTATAAATGACCAGTCAGTCAAGTCAAGAACCTTGAACAGGCTGGGCATGGTGGCTCGTGCTTATAATCCCAACACTTTGGGAGGTCGAGGGCTCGAGGTCAGGAGTTCGAGACCAGCCTGACCAACATGGTGAAACCCTGTCTCTACTAAAAATACAAAAATTAGCTGGGCGTGGTGGCGGGCACCTGTAATCCCAGCTACTCGGAAGCCTGAGGCAGGAGAATTGCTTGAACCCACGAGGCAGAGGTTGCAGTGAGTCAAGATCGCACCACTGCACTCCAGCCTGGGCGACAGAGCAAGACTCCGTCTCAAAAAATAATAATAAAAATGGAAACAACAACAACAACAACAACAACAACAACAACCTGGAACAGCGCCTGGGGTGTTCAATAAATATTTACTGAATGACTGGATGAATGGATCCAGGAAATGAACTGAATTTCATTTTTCTGTAATGCGGAGTGAATGGCCACTAGGGGGAGCGTGAGCTTCCTCTTAGCGGTGGTGGAAAGGGCGCTTCCCACGCTTGCACCTGGGACCCACAGGCGTGGGTTTGGGAAAGTAAGGGTAGTGCTTTGTAATGATCATTGAACCCTGTATTTCTGAAATGCGTTAAGACCTAGCCACCTGAATGAGCGAGCAGTTGAGTTTTTCAGATTCCCCCACCAGATTCACTGAGTGGTATCATTACCAGCCAGTACTGCAGCTATGCGGTCCTGCTTAGCTGGAGTGCTGGAGACCACAGCCAGAGAGCGGAGCACAAACAGCCATATGAAAAGAAAGCACAGTGCACAGAGCAGGTGTTTGCAGCCAGGTGCAAAAACTCTTCACTAAAAACACTCAAATGCCAGGTGCAGTGGCTTAGGCCTGTAAACCTAGCACTTTGGGAGGCTGAGGCAGGAGGACTGCTTGAGCCCAGACCAGCCTGCACAACATGGTGAAACCCATCTCTACAAAATTAAAAAATTAGCTGGGCATGGTAGCCTGCACCTGTAGTCCCAGCTACTCAGGAGGCTGAGGCTAGAGGATCGCTTGAGCCTGGGAGGCCAAAGCTGCAGTGAGCCATGATCACACCACTGCACTCCAGCCTGGGTGACAGAATGAGGTCCTGTTTCAAAATAAATAAGTGAAAACTCAAGAATTAGACAAACCAGATAGCTCTGGACCCAGCAGTACGATTAGTAGAGTGGAAATAAGAAGACAGCATGAAGAACTGAGGGGCAAGTTGAGAAGAATGGGCTCATGCAGTTGGTGACTTGATGGCTAATTTGCACCTTGCCACTTGGCACTTGGTCACACACTGTTTTCTATTACTTTCCTCTTTGCCAGAGACTTAGAGCCTTGGGGCACTGAGGTCTGCTAGTTCCACCTGTTCATCTGGAAGCCTGGATCTAAGGAGGGAAGAGGCTTTATCCCTGCTGGCATAGTCAGGTCCCAGCCCAGCCAGGTAAGCGCCTGAAGTCCTTGTTGCTTTCTGATTTTTCCTTCATCTAGAGAGGAGGCGTTTGGAGAGCAGGTCTTGTGTGTGCTTTATCACAGACTGGAAGCCAAGAACATCCCTTTTCAGAGCCCTGGGTTTTCTGTTCCTCATGCAACCTCTGCAGTTGGGATGAACAATATATTTTAATTTTATTTTACAATGGGGAAACTGACAAATACTGAATTTCTTAACTGCGCAATCCTTGGCCTATAGGCCCATGAACTTGAATGGAGAAAAAATTAAATATTTATGTTTATGAATCTTTAACTCAAATTTAGCATTTCCTTAAAGCATGGACATAGGCAAGAAACCACAGTAGAATCAGCAGAACTTGTGACTTTGTCACCAACAGAAATCACGGATATTTTCATACCACGTGATACGTTGTAGCTATCTCAAAACATTGTTTCTATTCATCACTACTTTGAAATTATGGGAGTCCTTAGATCACTGCTAGATCTTAATATTTCATGTATTGAGGAACATATATATTACTATATTACAATTTTAAAATATTTCAGTATAATCAATTTCCTGTGTAACACAGCATACTTTATTTCATGCATTTAAATACATAGGCTTCACCAGACTACCAAAGATTAAGAAAAAGGTTAAGTACCTTTGCTTAAAGGAAATGATACCTTAGAACTCTATTAGCCTCTCATTCACTAATTTACCATGGATCATAAATTAATATAATGTGGATTTCTTTTGAAGCCCAGCAAAGGAAGTTTAGCTTTTACTTATTTTATTTATTTATTTATTTATTTATTTATTTATTTATTATTATTATTATTTTTTTTGAGATGGAGTCTCGCTCTGTCGCCCAGGCTGGAGTGCAGTGGCTGGATCTCAGCTCACTGCAAGCTCCGCCTCCCGGGTTTACGCCAGTCTCCTGCCTCAGCCTCCCAAGTAGCTGGGACTACAGGTGCCCGCCACCTCACCCGGCTAGTTTTTTGTATTTTTAGTAGAGACGGGGTTTCACCGAGTTAGCCAGGATGGTCTCGATCTCCTCACCTCGTGATCCGCCCGCCTCGGCCTCCCAAAGTGCTGGGATTACAGGCTTGAGCCACCGCGCCCGGCCGGAAGTTTAGCTTTAAAAGCATTGAAAGGATATCTTATCACTCAGGGATTCATATAGATTTAATAACAAAAATGGTACTATAGGAAGTATATTAATTTGATCTTCTGCATTCTCTGGATAAAAGGATGTATGCAGAACCTTTCAACTGTCATTAAACAAAAACAAGAGCAAATGCATAAGGCAGCTCATGAAACTTATTCAAGACGGTAAATAATTGATAGACTGTGCTTGTGGTGATGCCACTTCATACCTCCTTCACTGATTAAAACATTTCTGAGTGTTGAAGTTAATTGTAAAAGTAAGAGCCAACAGTTGGGAATGCCATTTTTCCAATGTGTCTTCAATTAGGATAATGTACATTAAACACAGACTTTTATGTCCTCTGGCCACTGAAGTTATGGAATTCATATTAGGAAAATTCAAGTTTGGAAGTCTGAGGCTTTTAGAAATATGAGAAGGGTTATTTAAGAAATTTAAAAGTTTACGTTATCACCACGAGCAAAAAATGCAAGGGTTTGTGTAGAATATTTTATCTTTTTGGAAGTAATGCTGCAGAGATACTTAAGCCACGAAAAATGTTGCCATTTTTTTGTTTTCTTGTCTATAGGTATTGAACGAGTTGGGCTTTTAATGATCGTTTCTGCTGACCTGGAAACATCTTAAGTGGAAGGTTAGCTTCTATGAGTCACTGATACTCTTTTCATTGCTATTTGTAAATTTCCTTGGCTTGAAGATTACTTCTGTTTTGCAGAAATTATCTGCTTGCAGCTGTGGATGATTTATCTGGTGAAATCTCAGAAAAAAGATACACTTTTGTCTTAGATGGATGTCAGCGGCTGCAGCAGAACCCGGTGAAAACACCCCCGGGTGGCACAAGGCTCTGTGAGCTGTAACTCCGACAAACGCACAACCTCTTGAGGCTTTCTTCTTCTAAGGAGTATGACACAGTTAAAAAGGAAAAAAGAGCCACAAGCAAAACAGTCGCCAGTGAAATAGGAGAGGGAGCTCTTTCAACAAGGCTGGCTGCGGCTGGCCTCCGCCACTCATCTGCAGGGCGCGAGCGCTTGGTCCATGGAGTGAAGCTCTTCCAACCTGGATCAACGAAAAGGGAGAAGAAATGGCCCAAGAAGTAGATCTGAATGCTCTCAAGGAGTTAGAACGCGAGGCCATTCTCCAGGTCCTGTACCGAGACCAGCAGGTTCAAAACGCAGAGGAGGAGAGGATAAGGTAGGCTGTCCTTCCCGTGGGGTCACTTCGGGGTTTTAGCTTTCTCTGCTTGGGGCCTGCCACTCCATCGCTGATGCTGCTTGCTTCCAAATCGCTACCCACCTGCTGCTGGGCTTCATGACTGAGAAGGGTCCCAACAAAGGGCTGTTGGTGGAGATGATCCTCCTTATGTAGCTCAATTTAGAGGATGCCCGGGACAAGGGAGGCCACTCTTGTTATTCATTTAAAACAGCGCGTTTGGGCGGTGAGTTTGCTGTCTGCCATCTGCTTGTCTGTTTGCCGACTTGGTGGGAATCATTCAAGGGACATTTTCAGGCTTCTAGTTTACCACTTATTTAGGGAAAGTCCTCGGGTTAAGGGTTTTCCTACCTCATTTTTGACGGTGCCTGAAGGTGTAAAGAAAAGCAAAGAAAGCAGTTCAGAAGCAGCACATCTGATGGAATCCAGCACTGTCTTTTTTCTTTGCTTGCTTTTGCTTCCCAGCTGGCTTTGAGGAAGGGGAGAGCATAAAATATGAACCTGCTTAGCCTGTTTCCTGACCGGTTTGACAACAGGGAACTTCTTCCCTGTCTGTCTGTAAGCTGCACGGGCCGTTTGATACGGGTTAACATTTAGAAAATTGTGTTGAACTCTATCAGAGCCGTGTTCAGCCTTAGCTGTCAAGATCCATCTTTAAACAGGTTGGCGCTTTTTATCAGCGTCTATGGAGGAAGTGAGGGTTTGGTTTCTAATGGCAGAACACATTAGAAAACAAAACTTTGGACAACCAAATGCTTGAGGAGTGAGGGGAATTTTCTGGTATAGTATCCTTGCTTCATCCTCTCTGTTACTTCAGAGCTCTCTAAGTGTACTTGTAAACTTTCTTCCACTAAAAACTATAATACAGGCTGGGTGCGGTGGCTCACATCTGTCATCCCAGCACTTTGGGAGGCCGAGGCAGGCAGATCACCTGAGGTCAAGAATTCGAGACCAGCCTGGCCAACATAGTGAAACCCTGTCTCTCCTAAAAATGCAAAAATTAGCTGGGCATGATGGCAGGTGCCTGTAATCCCAGGTACTCGGGAGGCTGAGACAGGAGAATCCCTTCAACGCGGGAGGTGGAGCTTGCAGTGAGTCGAGATCGCATCACTGCACTCCAACCTGGGTGACAGAATGAGATTTCTGTCTCAAAAAAAAAAAAAGAAAAAGAAAGAAAAAGAAAATAAAAAACTACAATACAGTGAGCAAAGTGAAATTTTATTTGATGATGAAAGATCTTTCAGTGATTTAGAGACATCATTTTGAATATTAACAAAGTGACATAGACATAGTGGTAACGAAGTTGTGTCTCAAAGAGTACTAATTCTAGGGTAGATCCTGAAAGTTGCATTTTAAAGTGCATTTCTGATGTCATCTTGTTTCTTGGGATTGGCTCATCTCTTCTACAAGTCGGTATCACAGACATTCATAAAAGAGCATGATGGTAAATGACACCTTTTTGGTCCAATACAATGCCTCTTTGCACTATGGCTATTTGTCTAGGGGAGTGGGCTGACCGCTCATTTAAAAACAACAACAACAACAACAACAACAACAAAGTAGCAAAAGCATAGCATCAGTTGATTTCATTGAGTAACTTATACCAATAGCAGGGATGTATGCTGTGTATTTCTGGATCGTTCCATGCCTTGCAGATTGGAACGGATGCTGTTTTCGGTGTCTTTTCCTCTCGTTTCACTATTCTTGCTTACTATCTTAGCAGCCTTTGGGCAGGAAGGGATGGATCTCGCGGGGAGCTTCTCTGCACCAGGCATGTTATTTATACTTTGCCATTTAGTCCTCACAGCAACCCTGGGAGTAGAGGTAAGGTCGTACCTTACCTCGCCTGTTTCACGGTTCAGGAAACCCTTGAGCCCCGACTCTGAGACATGGAGTGGGAGCCCAGTTCACACAGCCATGTGGGAGCCCAGGGATGTCGAATGCCAAAGCTCTGTCCCTTGCCATGGGGGGTACCATCTGGGCTCTTGCCCTGTAGCCTGGGGTTGGGTGTTCCATCCAATAGTATCTTCTTTAACTTTGTGGGCTGCAGGAAATTGAAAACCCACCTGCAGCATCTCCGGTGGAAAGGAGCGAAGAGCACGGACCAGGAGTACAAAGAGAAGTGCTGTGCGCGCTGCCAGAGGGTGCTGGGGCTCCTGCTGCACCGGGGCGCCGTGTGCCGGGGCTGCAGCCACCGCGTGTGCGCCCATTGCCGAGTGTTCCTGAGGGGGACCCACGCCTGGAAGTGCACGGTGTGCTTCGAGGACAGGTGAGCACGGCTGGTGGTTGGATCCCTCCCACTGACTCAGGTCTGGGAGGAGGCCTCTTTACAAACCGCCCTTAAAGACAGCGCTCACTCCTCACCTTCAGCCAGTGAATGTGTACCGAGTGCCTGATAGGGAGCTACCTTTCTAACCTGAGAAGTTATCTTCATCCAAAAATAAATTTTATCATATAGCGACATTTTTTTTTTGTTTACAGAAGTTTGGGCCAAGCGCAGTGGTTCATGAGGTTAATCCTAACACTTTGGGAGTCTGAGGTGGGTGGATTGCTGGAACCCAGGAGTTTGAGTCCAGCCTGGGCAACGTAGTGAGACTCTGTCTCTACAAAAAATACAAGAATTAGCCAAGTGTGGTGATGCATGCCTGTAGTCCCAGCTACTTGGGAGGCTGAGATGAGAGGATCACTTGAACCTGGGAGGTCGAGGCTGCAGTGAGCTGTGATCGTACCACTGCACTCCAACCTGGGCAACAGAGTGAGAACCTGTTTAAACAACAAAAGTTTGTTAAGTCGAAGGATGGGCTAACCCAGGAGTTCAGATTCATGTGGATCTCTTCACTAAGTGCTGTCATTTTCTTAGCACTTAATTTATCTCCTTCAGTACCAGTGGAGTAAATTATAATGTAGGGAACATTGGAGTAATCCTTTGAGGCTTTAAATACCACCTTTTTGAAGGAGGCAAGCTGACCTGTCTTTGATACTCAGGTAAAGAAATGGACATGCTTTCCATTAGTAGCAGACTGATTCTACGTTTATAGTAATAACTTCGTGTTAGGGGTTTTAAGACCAGTTTTAACATGGAATTGGTGTTTTTGCACTCCCCATTCTGAAAACGATAAAGAACTGACTTGGCTTAGACTCCCGTTGTTCAGAGCAAGAATGAACTGGCCATGAGCTCTGTGAAAACACTAGAGGGGTGAGTCCGTCTGCTGGGGGAGACGGTGCACAAGGACATCACAGAACTTTGGAGGAGGGAGGAATGCTAGGCTGGTGTGAATGGGAGTCATCAGAGACCCTGAGATTTGAAAACCACTTCTAAATATTGTCACAGATTTGTGAGAGCTCCAGGGACAAAGACTGTGGGAGGCACTTATACAGTGTGGGCATCGTGGCTGGGGTTTCTCCCCACTAAATCGGGAAGGTTGTGTTTAACACACACCCTGGCATTCATCTACTTAAGTGTCCTGTCCCTTAGCAAGACTTACTGTATTTCAGTCATCTAGCCAGAGGGGTGAAGTGGTTCAGCCTGATTTCTTTGCTTTCGAACTGCATCCCGTCCATTTCGCTCACAGCGTGCCAAGTCACACGGACAGTGGCAGAATTCTCCTTTTCCTCTCATGTTCCTTCGGTTTGCTGAAGCCATTGTCCTTCAGGCTTTTCCTTGCTTGAGAGCAAAACATAATTACTGCGAACTGCCCTGGCGGCATAGAGGGAAGTTCCAAATCATCTCTAGAAAGGTCTCAGGATCTTCTTCCCCATTTCAATCAACCATATATATTTGAAGTCTAATGATAAACATCGCTGGACAGGGTGTTACATTTCTCAGCATTTTGTCGTCTTCTAACAATCAACAGTAAACAAAAAATCAAAACAAGAGGACAAGGTCTGCAGCAATCTCCCAGGAAGCTGACAGTGTTGAAATCTCTGCCCTAGTGAGCACTGTGTCCCTGGCACTGTAACTTTACCCTCTAAGTACATGAAATACGACTTCTAAAACCCCAGCTTCCTTATTCTGAAAAGAGGGTGGTTTTCAAAATACCTCGGGTCATTGCATTACTATGAGTGCATTAATAGGAGAAGTCGGGAGGGGAGAGAGCCAAGCATTTTGTGGTCACATGCATTTTCTTTCCCTTCGCCTTGCTCCCTGTCCCCACAGCCCTCTGTCCTCTCTCCAACTTTACCCAGTCTGGGCTGTCCTCCTCCTTGTAGGACCAAAATGAAGATGAGACTGTATAAAACTTTAGAATCTTGACATTCATAACTGTCGCACATATGGGGACCTAGAAAAGGTTTTTGACCCCGATCAGTGTCTCCCCTGTTTCTTCCTTCACTTCAGGTTCATTCCTCAATAAAAAGTAGATCCGTGGCAGGAGCAGGATGAGGAAAATCGTTTTTTAAAATCAAGAAAGGGGAAGTACTAGGGTACCAAAGACCAAAACCAACCAACAACTCAGAGGTTGCTGCAGAACAAGAGGCCTGTGGCAGGTGCTGGCCCTGACCTTGTGTAGAGAGGTTCCAGGGGACATTTCAGATACAGTTTCTGTCTTCAGGGAAAGGTTTCTCTTGGAGAACTACTGAGTGCCAAGCTGCCAAGGTCCCTGGGGGCTCAGAGAGGGAAAGATGAGGCCGGCTGAGTGGCTCAAGACGACTTCCAGAACATTCATGTTACTAATTTCCATTAGTAACAGACTGAATCTACGTTTATTGTAATAACTTTGTGTTAGGGGTTTTAAGACCAGTTTTAACATGGAAATGGTGTTTTTGCACTCCCCGTTTTGAAAACAATAAAGAAGCGACTTGGCTTAGACTCCCGTTGTTCAGAGCAAGAATGAACTGGCCATGAGCTCTGTGAAAACACTAGAGGGGTGAGTCCGTCTGCTGGGGGAGACGGTGCACAAGGACATCACAGAACTTTGGAAAAGGGAGGAATGCTAGGCTGGTGTGAATGGGAGTCATCAGAGACCCTGAGATTTGAAAACCCCTTCTAAATATTGTCACAGATGGAATATTCTTTTAATGTTTTATTAAAAGATTAAAACAATTGTATGGGGTAGCTACTACTTTCATCCTCATTTTACAGTTGAGAAAGTGGAGGATTAGAGACACAAGATGGTTTGTCCATGGTCATATCAATAAGAACAGAGTGAAGATGGCAACCCAGGTCCCCCGGGACCCCAGGCCTCCCTCTGAATCTCCAGAGCTCTCCTGCCTGCTGGGAGTCTTGTCCTGGGAGGGCAGAGTCTTTTTTTTTTTTTTTTTTTTTTTTTGAGACGGGGGTTCCCCTCTGTCACCCAGGCTGGAGTGCAGTGGCCGGATCTCAGCTCACTGCAAGCTCCGCCTCCCAGGTTCACGCCATTCTCCTGCCTCAGCCTCCCGAGTAGCTGGGACTACAGATGCCCGCCACCTCCCCCGGCTAAGAGTCTTTTTTTTTTTGAGACGGAGTTTCGCTCTTGTCACCCAGGCTGGAGTGCAATGGCGCGATCTCGGCTCACTGCAACCTCTGCCTCCAGGTTCAAGCGATTCTCCTGCCTCAGCCTCCGGAGTAGCTGGCATTGCAGGCGTCTGCCACCACACCCGGCTAATTTTTGTATGTTTAGTAGAGATGGGGTTTCACCATGTTAGGCAGGCTGGTCTCGAACTCCTGACCTCAGGTGATCCACCTGCCTCGGCCTCCCAAAGGGCTGGGATTATAGGCGTGAGCCACTGCGCCTGGTTGGTAAAGTCTTAAAGGCCACTCAAAAGAGCTTGCCTCCGAAGCAGTAGGAACTGGAGTCTGAGTATGTGCTCTTTGCCAAGCGAACACCGTGCCGAAAGTCTGTGTGTTCTGCAGGGCAACATCAGGAGGGCGGAAGGTACCTGAGAGTTGCTGCAGTGAATGAGAGGCGCCGAGGGAGGAGGCTGGTGGCAATAGTGATGGAGAATGGGAGAGACAGGAAAAGGGTAGGATGGACCTCGGTTACAGGGGATAAAAGAGAAAGGTGAAAAGTGATTCTGAGGACTGGCCAGACAGGTGGCTTGGCATGCTGAACTGGATCACGGGGCATCAGAGAACCAAAGAAGAAACAGAAAGAGCCCAGTAATCAAAGGCACATTGGAAAGGACCTGGAAGAACAAAGGAAAGTTGCTTTCAGTAGTGAAGGGGCGGCATGTTGTCCTTAGCAGGGGCCAATCAGAAAAGGGTGACTTGGTAGGAGAAACAAAGAGGTTAAAAGCAGAAACATCCTTGTTTTCCACTGATATTTCTTCCCGTGGAATATGTTGACAATTTCTGCAGTGAAAGGGCAGATGGTAACAATTAAGTTGAATATCAAGGGGGAGACTATGCTTTGTATATGTTTGTTTTAGCTTCATTTAAAAAATAAGATTAAGCTTGATGATTTATGTTTGCATTAATTTTTTTCTGTTAAAACTAATATACTATGCGGTAACAAATTCCATGTGTAAAAGAAACCTGCTCTTCTCCCCTAAGATTGCTCAGGAATTACTCTTGTTCAGACTTGTTTGCTTCAAATTGTGATCTTCTTTTCATGCTTTATAATTGCTGTGACCACAACAATTTGATGATTCTTCAGTTTCAGATATCTGTGGACACACTGCCTGTTTCGTTAGCAACATTTTGCCGCCAGTCAGGTGCTTTACAACCAAATTGGTTTGTGCAGAGAATTCTGTAAGTTGCAAATATTTTAACAATAATAAAGGTGCAGCAGGGCTTATATACCATCATTAGAACAGAAGGTTTCAAGTTGCAGCAGGTGATACTGGTGATTTCAGGCTACCTTTCTGGATTGCTGCAATTTGTCTCTTGTACCACAGCTGATGCCAACAAAGAGCAGCTTAAATGTGTTCGGTTGAAAAATTGATCCAGACCTTGGCATTTGATTATTATGTTCTTAGTTCTCAGGTTGGGTCTTGAGTTATTGCTGCGGAGCAGTAGTGGTTAAAATAAGACCTTGAAATGTATTAAAAGGGAGGTGAGCTGGATGGGGTCATCCACGAGGTCATGGATATGGTGTGCGTGCCTGTGGTCCCAGTTACTCATGGGATGCCCAAACGGGAGGATCACATAAGCCCAGGAGTTTCAGGCCAGCCTGGCCAACATAGCGAGACCTCGTCGCCAAAACAACTTAAAAAGGTTTTGTTGTTGTTGTTGTCATTCAGCATTTCAGATCAGTACTTAGATGTAAAGATATTGTTCTTTGGGAGGCCGAGACAGGCGGATCATGAGGTCAGGAGATCGAGACCATCCTGGCTAACAAGGTGAAACCTCGT